TATATATATATAATATAATATATATAAAGCTCGGGTACTCGAAAAGAAGCATATTAAATTCGATCGGCTAATAATTTATAAACGATAATTAGGTAATCGTAAGGAATGTCGACAAAATAATTAAGAACTAGAAAATTTTTCAGTTCACATAAACATACTCGCCCACCAAGTTATCAGAAGCAACGCAGTGTATGTTTACCACCGGCTACTGCTCCTTCTGCCACATTATCTTCTATACAAACCGAAAACAACGATAATATAAACAACAATCGTCTATCGTGGCCACAATTTAGAAACATTAATCAGACGCAACACCCATCAAACGTTACATCGATGAAGGGTGGTTACATATTACGGGGCAGGGAAGACCAGTCCTATAGTAATAATAAATTCAGACGAGATACTCATACACCGCTAGAGAGAGTGCTTCCAAAAGACGAAGCAAACGTCATGGAACGCGCTAATCAGATTGTCATGTATGTAAAACGTATCGATTCTCATTTAATAAACGTAATTTAAGTTACAGAGAAAAATTACTGATTTATAAATCAAGATTAATACGTACTTTATAGCAATTCCGGGTGGTGATGGGTTTCCTTTTTGTAGGTAATAGCATTTTCGTAAGCTATTAATAGTTAAAACTGTACCGTGGCTTTATTCATTTATCTTAATTTCTCGATGACATATCGCTACATCTTTTGATAACAAAAGAACATTATATATCCATTATAAAACCATTTTTCATTATCATCAATCTCGATATAATTAATGATGATTGCTGCATGCTGAATGTTTTGCAACAGTTCCTTAAAGTTTTTACCAAAGAGTTGCATATATCTTATTTGTAACTACTATATTATAAAAACCATGAATAATTTATAATATAGAATATAAATATGGCAGAATAGTATAAATTAATATTATTATAATTATAAATTAAAAATGTGATTTTTTTCTACATCAATATTTCATTTGTACTATCATCATAATACTTAAATGTTTCCTATAATATTGGATCAAATATTATCCTTAAGCTTGCTATTTCTTATTATATCTACTATATCATATAAATTTTCTACTATTTCTTATTTCTTTATTCTGTTTGTTAGATATATTTTTGTATGTACATAGATATAGATTTTTTATTATTCATAAAACATACACTACTGATAGAATATAACTAGATTGTAATTCCTTCTCCTGTGTAAATACAAAATTATCTGAAGATTGATACTATTTGTATTGTATATTTCTACATACATGATAATACTAAATGATAATAACAGGAGAATGAATGTACATCATATATTGAATATTACAAATGCATATTAGCATTGGAATGTTTACAGGAAAAATAAATCGTTTCGGCCAAGGGAACGTGGCAAGAAAGGTCTGAAAAATCTGCAAACTGTAAAGACACTCGCAGGAAGAACTCAGAGTTACGGTACCGGACCAGGGAAAGCCAGAAAACAACCTATGACCGTTTCTGCACAATTTCAGCAAAGTTTGCACAGTCTGATGGACACTCTGAATCAGGCAAATCCTTTCTTCATCAGATGCATTAAGAGCAACGCTAATAAAATACCAAATGAATTTGATGAGGAAACAGTACAACGACAGCTGCGCTATACAGGCATGTTGGAAACCGTCAGAATAAGGCAGGCCGGTTTCAACGTGCGACTAACATATGAGGAATTTATACAACTCTATCGAATGTTGCTTCCTAAAGGTCTTCTGAGCTCACAATCCGACGTGAGGGACTTCCTACTAACTCTCAATCTCAACAGAGATAATTATCAGTTGGGTACTACCAAAGTCTTCCTCAGAGAATCCGAAAAGATAAAACTGGATATTGAACTTCATCAACAAATTATAACAAGCATTACCACCATACAGAAATGGTTCCGCGCTTGTCTAGAAAGGCGAAAATTCCTTAGATTAAAGAATGCCGTTGTACAAATTCAATCTTTCTGGAGAATGGTTTCGGCACAGCGATTAGCTCAGGTTCTTCGTGCAAGAACCGAAGCCGCATTACATATACAAACTGCCTGGAGGGTGTACAAACAACATAGCTGGTTTAAAAAGCTAAAGTCGTGCGTAATTACTTTCCAAGCGTACGTTAGAGGAAATAATGCCAGAAAGAAATTTATCGAATTGAAAAAACGAAAAAGGCCTCTACCAGATAGAATTCAAGAAGTCAAGAAAATTCCAGAATATAAGGAACTTATATATGATAAAATGTACGCCAAAGATAGTGAAGAGTAAGTATAACACGTATACATGTATCTATAAAACAATATAGAGATAACTTGTATTATTTTTTTGTATAGGTCGTTCGCGGAAGATCGAAGTTTAACAGAATATGGCGAATCACCTCGAAAAGTAGAATCTCAAAATCGACTTACGTCAGTAAGGTAAGTACTAAAGTTTCAATTTCACAATTAGGTTGTTGCAAAAACTTATCGAGCTCTTTATAGGAGTGATAACGTCTATCGAGACAGAGACAGTACTTTGGATACAAGCATCTCGTATTCCAAACGAAAGCTTACTCCGAACAAGCGAATTTTGCATGACGGAGCGTTGAAAAATACGGAAACGTATAATTTCGATGAGATCACAGATCGTAAAAGTAGTCTCGAAAGTTTAACCAGTCTGAGGAGTTACGAATCTCAAGCTAGTATCAATAGTTCTGAATCGCAAGAAAATTCTGGCTCGAGACCCGTGCCAAGCACAAGAACAAAACGTGGTGATCATTCGGCGGCGATTGCATCAAATGTAAATATATTGAACGCGTCCAGTCGACTCTCTTCAGTGAGTAGAAGAACTGACAGTTCCTCGACAGGGTATAGTGATGGAGAAACCGAAAGCGAGCCACCGAGCGCCGTGCAAAGTGCTCCACCTGTTTTCAACACGAGTCTGCCGTTCGTCAGTTCGCGCGACATAAAGTATCATACCACCAACGTAAACCTGACGCACAGTCCGAATTCGGACATTTGGCGTCGTAGAGCAGATTACTCGCCCGCCAATTACAGCGATTATTTTATGCAAGTACCTCAGAAAACAACCGTTACCCGATCTCCTAACGTGTCTCATTACAAGAGTTCAACGGATAGCGTTTTCGAACAAGTCCGACAGGAAAAGCCCAACGAAGCTGCGAATTATAATGTTAAACTCGATACGAGCGATCGATTCGTTCAAATGGAAAGTTTGAGTAGTAGGCAACAACGTGGATTTAATGACAACAACGTAGCTGATCGAATGGAAAATATTCCAATATCGCCAACAAAACGAGATCAAACCAAGCACGGACCTATAAAAAATGTCAAAGATCTTAGTTACTTGCGGCGACAAAACTCGGAGGGAGATTCCGCAATGAAAGTCGTAGATATCAACGACGATAACACTTTGAAGAGCACTTTATTGAAAGGATCCTCGCCAAATGAAAAGAATTCGCGTTCGAAAGAGAAGTATGAGCCGGACGTTCCAGTGAGAAACGCAAGACGAAATAGACCTTCGAGAGAGGTTCAGTGTCGATCTATGGGTGAAAGTGTAGTCGAAACTAATACCGAAACACGAAATCTGCTTCTTGGTACAATTAAGGAAAGTGACTTGAATAAAACGACTGTATGGTCTCGGAAAGATTATTCGCATGAAACTACTTCTCGATCTGTTACGGATTGGCCCATGAATAAGAATGAAGCTACATACAAAGTACAGCAGCCCGGTAAACGCATGAGATCCAATGCGATAACGACTCTCGAGCTACGAAGGAGGAACTCCGATCCAGCTACGAAAATCTCGGGTCTAAGTGAGGATAAAATGGGACAGGATACCAGTTCGAACGATCTGAAATTGGCACCTGGCATGAATCTTCTTGAATGGAAAGGTAATAATCTGTTTACTCTAGCTGGTCATCGTTTTCGAAAAGTGGCGAGATTTGCAAAGGACGACGTATGTGTGTGTTGCCACGAGAAAATGGACGCGTTTGTGACGCAAGGCTACAAATGTGTTGACTGTAAGCAGTTGTATCATGTCAAGTGCATTCAAAACGGTGGAGTGTTGAGAATGCCGTGCCTTTTGGCCAACACACCGAACAGACGGAAAAATAGAAAACCACCGCGCACACCGTACGATACTACGAAACAAACGGTCGCGTCCAAATTTAATCTAACTGGCACTTCAGCCTTTTCCGATAGCACGGATAAGATTATTTCCGACGCCAAAGAGTTGGCACTGATGCAAGATTTTATCACCAAGAAAATCTACAAAATGGAGAGTCAAGAGGAGGGACGGAAACCGAGCGAAGTGGATCGTGTTTTCAAACATGCTCTTAGGAAGTTCAAGGACGACCTGGTGATCACGTATAGCGTCGCCATACAGCAAGGCGTAGAGGGTAACATCAAGTACACCGATTTAATCGCAAATTTTCTTCACGTTATGGAAACTGTCTGCAAGCAAGAAAACACGAGGGAAGATTTTCCTGTAACAATGGGCGTGAATGCATTCAGAGGCTTTATGAATGAATTTATGGCTATGGTTAAAACTGAAGCTCCCGAAAAGCAAAGCAAGAGCAAACGGAAGAAGGAGAAGAAGCGAAAACAAGAAGAACCCATACGACATGGCAGTCACATGTTCCAGTTGACTATCATCAACATACCCACCGCGTGTGAAGTCTGCACATCTTTCTTCATGTGGCCTATTGAGCGAGGACTCGTTTGCCAGAGTAAGTAATCCATGTATACAAATTTATTTCGACATTTCTCTTTTTTTAACGATTTAATGATTATAATTAATCATAATAACTATACTTTGTTTTTAGATTGTAAATTGACATGCCACAAAAAGTGCTACATGAAGGCGTCAGCGGAATGTGGCAAAGATGGTTCTCTGCCTGAAATGAATTCGCGCAAAGTATTTGGTGTACCACTGTACAAGTTGGACTGCGGTGATGGCAAAGTACCACTCGTAGTAGATCGATTAATCACAACTATCGAAATGCACGGTCTCTATACTGAAGGTATATATAGAAAAAGTGGTGTCAGTTCCAAAGTGAGAGAACTCAAAATGAAAATGGACGAGGGTGATTTAGAGAAGGTGGATTTCGAGAACTATCAAGTGCATGTTTTAGCAGCAGTGCTGAAAAGTTTCTTTAGAGACATGCCGGAACCGTTGTTGACTTACGAATATTACGACGATTTCTTGCACGCGGCAAATTTGACGGATCCGCATGATCGAATCAGCACGCTCTTCGCCATATTGAAGAAGTTGCCGAAACCTAATTATGATCTGATGGAACGTTTGATTGTCCATCTAGCGCGAGTAGCGCGACATGAGGTAGACAATAGAATGTCATCATCAGCTTTAGCCATCGTTTTTGCACCGTGCATTCTCAGAACGAACAGGACGTTGCCCGCGCAAGATTCCCTTCAAGACGTAGGCAGGCAGACGCGTTGCGTCGAAACGATTGTGCAGGAAAAGTTGAGGGTAGTTAGAGCAACGCTGGCAGACATAAATACCCTCGAATCTGCTTGTCACACAGCGACTCATCGGCTCTCCAGTTTACGATCATCCAAGATCTTCAGTCCAGAGGAGTTGAACGTAACTGCCTCGAGCGTTGCAGGACGAGCAGTTGCGATGGATCGTGACAGGGATCGAGGAGATGAGGAAGAAGCGCTACTCGTCGATCATATACAAGAAATCCAAAAGGAAAAGGATCTCTTGACGTCTACTCTACCCAGTCTAACGAGAGCTTCTTCGGACGATGATCTCCTCTTGTCAGCCACGGATCTAGACGATGGATCTCTCGACGATCTTCTCCCATCTTCTGCTGGTAAGTACCTTCTAAGAATTGATTTTATAATTATGCGATTTGAGCAACAATTTCTCCAGTAAAGCTATTTATGTTCACAAAGATTTATAAGAGATTGTGCGTTTAATTACTTCATTGTTTTATTAAGTGATTGATTTTTAAAACGATTCTCTTTATTATGAAATGATTAAAAACTCTTATAAGATAGATATTAAAATAGATATATAGATAGGTTTCTAGGTTTAAGATCTTTTACTTTTATTAATCACAGACGGACTCGTAAGGAAGAAGCCCGTTCAAAGGCAAAGTTCAGCAGACAATTCGTTTCCAACGATTATCAATATGGACGATGACATGGTAATGGTATGAATAGCGTTCGCGAATAACATTAATGTGCATTCTAAACGAATATAATAGTCCGATAGATGCGAGATATCGTGTTAGGACAGAGAATCAATAACTTCACTTGCTGGTTCTTTCAACTAATTATTAATGTGTTGAGATGCATTAGCAATTACAAAAGCTTATAGCTTTCGTAATTTGCCGACTCCAAAAATGAAGTTTAATTGTGCGACTGAAATGATTCCATTCTGTTATTAAAGTCAGTAGAGATATCTAAAATTATTTCGTACAGTGTATGATTAGGAAAAAACTGCACAAATTTTAACTTTGCCGCATAATTTTATTCACAATGCATTCCTTTCTTTGAAGACTGTCGAAATATTTAGGCACAACGTTTCGTTTGTCTATAGATCCTAAAAGAAAACATTATTAACCGCCGCTTTACACATTTTAAATATAAGAAATGAAAGCACAGAAAAACTAGGAAATATTTAAAGAAAAGCGTACTTTTAATATTATATATATTTACACATACATGTATGTTTTTATTTTAAAATATATATGTATACACACATCATATACATTTTTAAATAAATATATACATGTATATGTATATATTTATAAATATGTGTATATGTACATATGTATATATATTTGTATGTATATTACATATGTATATATACATATATATGTATATTTTAAGAAATGTCCGCTTATCAAAGTGATGAGGGAGTCATATCGAATTACTTTTTTACAAATTTACGTTCATAAAAATGTAATTTATTGTTGCACCACGTTGCAATTTTCACTAAACATGTTTTTTTATGGAGGCTCTATATGATGTGTAGATGCGCTGTTCCTTTATAACTATTTGTTTAGCATTAATAGATCTGACTTGAAAATCATTTCTTCCCAAAGCATCTATTTGTTCAAGTAAAATCGATAATCGATCGTTTTGTATTCCTATGAGATGTTTTTACTGTATTTCGTTATGATGTTTCGTCTGATGACAACAGTCGATTTAAAGCGTTAGGTTTATAGGCGCAGGAATTTAAGGGACGACCAAGAAAGCAAAAGGAAACCAAAACATAGTTTGTACATATTATACTATAAAAATTTTGTAATAATCTGTTATTGTTGAATTTACACGCGAGAGACGTTTAACAAGATTATATTTCTACTGTCGATATTTGTTGTAGGGATAATCACGTCGTTATCGGATCTCTACCAGTTTTAGTTTTTTCTGTGGATCGATTTTTACTTAACGCGTTTTTTTTTCATGCTCAGATGCGTCCCAGAGACATATATGCATACATAAGTAAACGCACACATTACATACAAGTACTTATGTACAAATTCGTGCGAAAGACTAATTAAATTTTTTCGCTCGGAATTTATTTTACAAAAATTTCGTTTTTAATTTATAAAAAATATATATATATATACATATATATGTATGTTATTCAGTGTATCTTAGATCTTTATCGATTCTTTTTTCACGACTTTGCTACGCTATCTCTTTCGTCCAGTCGTACGAATTCGTAACTCGTGCCACTTTGTGCGATAGCCTGACGCTTGGAGAAAATCGAAAATGTGAAAGAAAAGGAGTGAAAGAGATTTCGATCTCACGTAATAGAAGTCTCTATCCAATAAGGATAATCAGATCAGGTTCCCACTTACGTACCACGAACTTAATTGAATTCCCCTGCGAATTAATAGTTACACTTGATGATGATCCCTGATAGAATTGGTCAGTGAATTGAGTCCTTCCTTTTATTTCTTTTCCCGACTCCAGTTAGCAATCGAATATAACGATATTTTCAATTATAATGGATACAGTAGACGGATGAAGAATTTATTATTGCGAGCGCGAGGATGATCTACATAAATTTTTTATTCATTATTTCTGATCACATATATCATACGTTCTGTTGCATCCAATCACCAAAGACTCATACGCACAGTTATTTTTTCATTCTTATATTTACGTCAATCCAATAAGTTTTTTTTTTACTTTGCGTGCATTGCTTTTTAATACTAAAGCGTCCTATATTTTTAATTGCCTTCGCATTACACTTTAAAAGAATAAAACTTATATTTCCGTCCTCTCTCTCGACTAGATCGACAGTTATGTTTGTGCAGCAGGTGAATATTTTAAGTTTCGCGTATCGGCAATCGATGACGAAGTAAAAACTTCTTTTTCCATTCAATTAAATCGTCTTTGGGTACTGGACTACGCGCGACTTTTATCTGGATAACTTTTAGGATTAAGTCGAGTAATTAAAAGAAAAGATGGAAAGAAAAGCAAGAAAGAGAGTCGTTCGTTTTTCCAGAGCATCCTTTTTTTCTCAACTCGCAAGGATCCATCTCCGCGTTTACATTCGTTTTAAGTATAATCGACTCGGCGATGATGAATATCCAAGCGATTATCGTCACGTCAAATCGATCCTCGATCGTTTTACACGGTCTCGGGAAACGAGACGATTTTAAATTGCCTTTTTACAATCGATAAAAGTTTTACGAAATGTAGCTAAGGTAAATCGTTATGAAATCGTCTTCACTTTGCGTGGGAGGGGGGAGGAGGGGGGGGAGTAAATCATATAGTGTTATATAAATGTAACGTTACCTTTCTCATCTGTAAAGCCATGACATCGTGCTCGCGATGCACAAATGACTTTAAGCGAAATGGAACGATCTTAATGGAAAAAAAAT